TTGCCCACAGGTTCTTAAATAAAACAGGGGCAGCTGTTTTGTTTGCTCCATGCTGTGTTTAAAAAAAAAAAAATCTGTAGCAGTATTTAAAAAAAAAAAATCACTTAATGTTATATAAAAGCTCTTTTTGGGAAAGATCAGACCTGGAGATGGTGGGCCCAGTTTCTACTGGGCAGTGGTTAGCCGAGCTGGGTGGCTCCTGCCTCAGTTTACCCCACCCCTCTGGGTCCTGTCTGCTCTCTGTCCAGCCCCCGGTAGTGCATTGTTGAATCAACTTCCTAGTTAAGAATACCTTAGGTCTCTGGCTGCAGTCATGGCCTTGAAAGGCTGCATTAGGGCGAGCTGGCTGGCCTTCCTGAGCCTGGCTGTCAATCTTGAGAGCCACCAAGGATATCAGGTTCACGCACGCGCTTACGATTACCGTGTATCCTACTTCTGACAAGAATTCAAGGCTCTTAGCCTGACCTGGCATTTTTCCCAAGCACACATTTCCCAGGTACAAAGGGAAAATTATTAAAACTTGTCACAGGTGGTTTATTGCTGAGCCACAGACGATGAAAAAGCCCTTTCATGGATCGTTCTGGCATGAATTCCTCAGATGGGCATTTTGGGGAGGGAGCGTAGCAGCCTGTCCTTTTGATTTCCTGGCCCAACCCAGAACACACGGCCGACTCAGAGCCCCCGCGCCTCCCCCCTTCTGCCCCCTGCTCAGTTTCCATTTGGTGGAGTTAATTTATTTGTTCATTCATTCACCTTAATGGGTTTCTTTTTCTGCTGCTGCTCTGACCTCTGGATATTCTGACCCGAAGTCTCAGAGACCCCCCACTTCTGGCTGTTGGGGACAGTGAGACTCAAGACCCCCGGATCCTTTCTGATTGGGCGATAGGGAGTGATTCTCTTGAACAGTTTGGACTCCCCAGTATAAGAAGTAACTTCATTTTATATTGTCTTGTTTGGGAAAGAAATGCATCGGGCTCTCCTGCCCCCAGAAATGTTTGTCCCTGCTGCCTTTGAGGAGGGTCAGGGAGCCCCGATTCCAAACCAGTCTCTTCTCTGTAGGATTTTGGGGGTTTCTGTTTAGAAAGGAGCTTCCGGTTAACGCTGCGGGCCAGAGGGTGGAAGGCGAGAATCAGAGACCCCCTCCACTGCCCCCCACGCCCTTGGCGGGGCTCACGTCCTGGGGCACCGGTCCCCAGAGAGACCAGGGAGGCTTTGATGAGGAGGCTGGACCAGGGTAGGGAGGAGCAAGCATGGTGGTGGCTCGTTCCCTTGCTCCACTGAGAGGTTTGCTGCTGAAGAAACGGAGGTGGAAGATGTTAGCCTCCGGGTGTAACTCACCCATCAGCAGTGACCGTCACTGCGACCATTTCAGCGTTACAGGCCAGCTGTCCCTTCTGTGCAACCCCGTGGGTCCCAGGCGTGGGGGCTGGGCTGCCCGAGCTGGAGCTGCCCCATAGGGTCGGGAGTTCCGCATTCTTTCCGTTGCGGTTAAGAGCAGGCTTTGGGGGAATTAATGCGTTTCCCCGAAGCCCAGTACCACCGACGTTTCACATCTGTTCACAGCAGTGAAATGGGTTTTTAAGGGGTGACGTAACAGCAGCTTGAAAACAAGAATGAAAAAACCCCTTTCATTGAGAGCCATGGTTGAAGGCATCTCGAGAAGAATTCTCCTTTGTTGAGAAGTTGGCGCGTAAAGGAGGAGGCTCGAGTGTACCTACGTGTTTGTAATATCTTATGTTGAGATATGTGTTTGCTTAAAATTGAAAGAAATGAAGGTACATAAGGAAAATATTTCCACGGTACAGAAAGGTGAAGCAGAAGACAGGAGTGTTGCTGACCACATGCCGGCCTGTAAGCGGTTTACAGGCGATGGGACTGTTGCGTGCAGAACAGTCTTCACTGATCATTTTAGACGTTGAGAGGTGACAGGTAGGACAGGCCCTGTGGAAAGACTCAAACCAGCACGTGAATGGGTTTTCAAAGACCGAGGCAGACTATCAGCAGAGAAGACAAAAGCCAGTCGCTGCTTGACTGGCCCTTTCTTTGCAGGTGGGGGTCAGTGTGACAGTACCGTCCGTCGGTCAGAAGGGAAGGCTCGTCCCTGGGAATCCCGGGTGACTTGCTCGGACATCACTCGGACAGAGTAGAATTTTCCTGAAGACAAATCTCTTGTTCCAGCATAAATTCAGTTACTGCCAGCAGTAGGAAGCCGGTTGGGTATCTGAGCAGAGCCAACGAGGGACGGATACACGGAACGTTTAGCGCTGGGACAGAAATGGAAACGAAGCGCGCGGAGTCCCGCGCTGTGCAGAGGCTGGGGGGGTGGGGGCGGGTGGCAGAGCTGGGCTGCAACCCGTTTGACACCCCTGTCCCCACTTCAGGGGGTAGCAGGGCAGCCCAGGAGAGCCTGGGGTTCCGGAAACTGAGTCAGAGCCCGGAGCAGCAGGTGTCTGCGTGTGCAGGGGATCCTGGGAGAAGGAAGGGGGGCCTCCAGGAGCAGCCAGATGAGGCAGGAGCGTGGGCGACCGTGATCCCCTGGGAGAGCGACTCTCGGTGGCCTCCGCCCCTGCAGGGACACGGAAATACCCCAGACGCTTTCTTACGGAGTAGCGGCCACCGGGGAGCCACCGCCGGGCTGAGACATAGCAAAGCGTCTCAGAACTGATACCTCCTAGGTGCCCCTTTCTCCGTCACCCTCTGTCGCTCCCCAGGTCTGCTCTGTCCTGAAACCTGCCTCCTTTTCCTTCCCTAAAGGTTACATTTTATAAGAAGAAAAGGGAGACGGGGGACCTTTCCTTAGACTCCATCCTCTCGGGCTTGGTTTGGAATAAAATGGCGGCTTGTTGGGCATTAAAATTGGAAGCGTCTCGTGTGCATTTCGGCTGCTGCGGGAGCAAATTGCTGCACGGCTGCTGTTTGGAAACACCCCAGATTGAGTGTGTCCTTTAGGTGAGAGGCCGCAGGGGTGAAGCTGTTGCCTTGCCCTGCTCCCAGCCGCGGCCCTCTTCCCTGCTGTATGTCCCTACCTCTCTCTTCAAACCCGACGCCCGTCTCCTCTCTCTGGCCCTCGCTCTGCCCTCCATGCCCCTCTCTGCCTTTCGAGGGCCCTGTGATTGCATCGGGCCCACCTGCATGATCCAGGAGAGGCTCCCCGCGGCTGGGTCCTCACCCTCCATCACCCCTGCGAGCCCATTTGGCCGAGTCAGGTCACCTCTTCGCGGGTCCCGGGATTAGGATGTAGGCATCTTTGGGGGCCGTTATTCTGCCTGCTGTGCGTCCCATCAGATTCATGCTGGTGACAGTGTGTCGGGTGGGCACCCGAGTGCAGCCGGGCACCACTGAGGCCGCGCCGCGGAGCTCGCACCCCAGCCCAGGCCCCTGGGATTGGCCGTTTCCCGGGGGCCTTTTCCTTGTGCCCGTTACACCCAGGAGTAGACCCCGCGTCAGCCTGTCCCTGCCGCCGGCCGAGGCCCCTGCCTCGCTTGCTCCTCTGAGTCTGTTTCTTCATATCCCCGCAGCTGGAGTGGGTCATTCTTAGCTCAGGGGCTCTCTGCTGACCACACGGGGTGGCCCTGTCGTTTAGGCTGTGTCTGTCAGGCACACCGTGGGCTCTTTACACTCACTGGTGATTCCTTCCTGTGGCAGTGGGGGTGGAGGGGGCGAGTCTGGGTGGGGACCCATCACTGCCCAACCCCCCCCCCCCCAGCTCCCCTCTCTGTTGTCTTCTTTTTCTACTTGTGTTTCCTTGTCTTCCTGGAGACCCCTGGCCAGGTTCACTGGCTTTTATTTTTATTATTATTTTTTAAATTATTATTTTTTTTTTTTGAGAAGGAGAAAGGGAGAGCATGCATGAGCAGAGGAGGGGCAGAAAGAGCGGGAGAGAGAGAGAGAGAGAATCCCAGGCTTCACACTGTCTGTACAGAGCCCTGTGTGGGACTCAGTTCCATGAACTGTGAGATCATGATCTGAGCTGAAATCAGGAGTCAAGGGGCTTAACCGACTGAGCCACCCAGGTGGCCCTCAGACTCACAAGCTTTTAGAACATGCAGATTAATTGTTGCTATGTAAAAGGAGATCTCAGGGCCAGGTTTCTGGTTTTTCTTGAGGAACTGGCAGCGCGGGCCATCCTGGGCTGAGTCCCCTTGGGGCAGCCTCCCCCATCGGTGCCCATGGGGTTATGGGTCGCCGCCCCTGTGGCTGTGGTGGGGTGCGTCCCCGCCCAGCCCTCTTCACTCACTTGCATGACCAGCCGGGCCCCTGCCTTTGACCTGAAGTGAAGCTCGTGTCGCCGAGGCAGCAGGAAGGTTCCAGATGGCAACAGAAGATAGGCCTCTGGGAAGCGCAGGGCGGGTGGGCAGGCTTGTGTGGACCAGCTACCTCCCAGGCCTGGCCACCTTGGGCAGCTGAGCGAGTCCCTTGCCCGAGCGCCTGTTTCCTCTTCTGTGTAGACCAGGGTCCATGCCCTCAGCAGTGCTGCCTTCGGGGGCAGGGATCCATCTCTGCGGTGTGGCCATCGCTGTGTGTCGGGGTGTCTAGCGCACCTCGCGGGTGGAGGCCAGGGGGTCCTGGCACACACCCCCTTCTCCAGTGTGACAACCAGAAGTGTCCCCAGACATTGCTGTGCGTCCCCTCGGGGGCAGGGCTGCCTGGTTGAAGGTGGTGTAGACCCTACTGGGTTGGTTACTGGTGAGGCTCCCCTGTTTCTGAGGGCTCCGTGCACATCGCGCAAAAGTGATCGCTCCCGACCTTCTGAGCGTCCTCTCTGCCACAGCCCTGGCGCGCGGCCTGCCTTGGGGCCCGGAAGAGAAGGGGAGTCCCCCTGTGTCAGGGACAGCCGAGTGCCCAGGCTGTCGCGGGCCGGCCCAGCCTTCCTGGGGACCCAGTGACTGCCTGTGCTTCGTCTGTCTCTGCTGCCCCTTCTGCCTTCGTGTTCATTTGTTCGACCTGTGAACCAGGACCCTTGGCGGTGTGCCTGACCTTCGACCCTGTGTCGCCTTTAGGTGGCCCTGGTACAGTGGACCGAAAGTGTGGGGCTGACCCTGGTGGGCCGGGACCAGTCTTCCATGCAGCTGAGGACCCCTGGCGACCAGATCCTGAACTTCACCATCTTACAGATCTTCCCTTTCACCTATGAAAGCAAGCGCATGGGCATCATCGTGCGGGTGAGTTACCCTGACGACTTCCAGTGACTGGATGACTCAGGTGTGCTGTGTGCCCCGTGGCCGTGCCACATTCTTCCTTAGCCCTTTCCTACCCTCTTTATTGTGATGTCTGTTGTCCAGACGAAGAAGAGAATATCATTGCCTGAGCAGAAACAATACTCGTCCATCAGTCGGACGAGACCTCGGAGAGCTGACCCGCTTCTGGTTAATCTAGTTCTAGAGGGAAAGGTCTAACCTATGGGGATCAGACATTTCTTGGTAATAATACACTTCTTGTTGTGCACGCTTTTGTTGAACGCGACCTGTTTCTATTGAGGTGAAATTGACATCAGCGAACCACTTTGAAGCATAGAGTTCAGTGTTGTTTAGGACATTGACAGCGTCGTACAGCCACACCTCTGTTTCAGAACATTGTCATCACCCTAAGGGGAGCCCTCGTACCCATTACGTAGTGGCTCCCCGTTCTTCCCTCATTCTGGTCCTGGAACCACCGATCTGCTTTCTGTCTCCAGGAATTTACCCATCCTGGTTATTTTGTTTAACTAGAATCCTGTAATACATGACTACATGACCTTTTGAGTCTGACTTTTTTCACCCAGCATAATATTGTCCAGGTCCGGGGCGCCTGGGTTGCTTAGTCGGTTAAGCGTCCGACTTTCGCTTGGGTCATGATCTCGCGGTTCGTGGGTTCGAGCCCCGCGTCAGGCTCTGTGCTGACAGCCAGCTCAGAGCCTGGAGCCTATTTCAGAGTCTGTGACTCCCTCTCTCTCTGACCCTCCCCTGCTCATGCTGTCTCTCTCTCTCTCTCCTAGAAATAAAAATTAAAAAAAAAAAAAAAATATTGTCCAGGTCCATCCACCTTGAGGCAGGCAGCAGAACTCCATTCCTTTTTATGGCCACGTCATCGTTTAGCCATTCATCTGTTGAAAGACATTTGGGTTGTTTCCACCTTACGGCTGTTGGGAGTAGTGTTGCTTCGAGCATTTGCGTACAAGGATTTGTGTCTCTGTTTTCAGCTCTGAGGGGTGGAGTTGCTGGGTCCATTGCCCACTTGCTGGATAATTCCGTCTTTTAGCTTTACGAGGAACCTCCAAACGGTTTTCTGTCACGTTGCACTATTTTACGTTCCACCAGCAACGCAGAAAGGTCCCAGTTTCTCCACACCCTCACCGCCAACCATTGTTATCTCACTTTTTCACTTTTTTGATTACAGCTCTTTCTGTGGTTGCAAAGTGGGGTCTCATTGGGGATGGAGTGGAGTTGCTGGGTCTTAATGACTACTGATGTTGAGCATATTCCATGTGCTTATTGGGCAATTTCTTATCTTCTGTGAAGAACTGTGTATTCGAGTCCTTTGCCCACTTTTGCGTTTGGTTGTGTTCGTGGTTGAGTTGGAAGTGTTCTTTGTGTAGTGGGGCTATTAGACCCTTATCAGAGATGGTCTGCAAATATTTTCTCCTCCTCTGTACGTTGTCTTTTCACTTTCGGGTTTTTTTTTTTTTTTGTCTTTTCACTTTCTTTGATAAAAATTCCTTTGATTCACAGAAGTTATTAATTTCGGTGAAGCCTAATTTATCTATATTTTCTTTTGTTACTCTTAGGTGTCATATCCAAGAGTTTATTGTCAAATCCAAGGTCATGAAAATTTACTCCTATATATATTTTTAAGAGTTTTGTGGTTGTGGCTCTTTCATTCGTTGTTCTAGTTTGGGTTGATTTTTCTATATGGTGTGAGGTAAGGGTTCAGCCACACTCCGTCGCACGTGCGTAAGCCCTGTCCCAGCACCGTTTGGCGGAGGGACCGTTGTTTGCTGAGTGGTCTTGGCATCCTTGTTGTAATTCAGTGTTTTAAATGGTTTTTCATTCATATAAGTACTGAAGTTATTGGGAAAACACAGCTATCATTCAGAGGCGTCATTTTGTCATATTTATTTCAAATTTTGTTGTTATGTATTCTGAAACTTGTATTGCAGTATAGCCTACACAGAGAACCACCGCAAACATCATAAGCATGCCGCTCAGGTGTTTACAGAGTTAGCACACCCGCATAACCAGCAGCCCAGAGCAAGGATCAAATTCCCTCCCTTGTCACCCCAGCAACTCCCGTGTGCTCCTTCCTGGTCACCTGCGTCCTTCTCCCCACAGGGATGTGACCACTCTCTTGATTCCTACCACCGATTAATCTCTTTTTGAGGTTTTCTCTTTATAGAAAAGAAATCACGCAGTAGATTCCTCTATTTGAGGAGCTGCTCAAATTTATATTTGCAAGATTCATCCATGTTTTTTAGGTATCATGGTTTTAAAAAGTTTTATTTTTATTTATTAAAAAAATTTTTTAATGTTTATTTATTTTGAGAGAGAGACAGAGAACGAGAGGGGAAGGGCAGAGAGAGAAGGAGACACAGAATCTGAAGCAGGCTCCAGGCTCTGAGCTGTCAGCACAGAGCCCGACGTGGGGCTTGAACCCACGAACTGCGAGATCATGACCTGAGCCGAAGTCGGATGCTCAACCGACTGAGCCACCCAGGCGCCCCTGGTTGTGCATATTTCTATTCTTTGAGTGGCATTATATCATTATCGCACTTTCTGTTTTTAACATTTAAAAGAACTTTATGTCCATGCATTTAATCTTACTTTGTTAGTTTTAGCCGTGTTACAGTGTTGCGCTGTGTGACTGTGCTTCGCTGCCTTCAGTCTACTGGAGTTCCCTGTTGATACATATTGAGAAAGTTGCCACTTTTTTTGCCATTAGACACAGTGCTGGCGCAGGTCGTTGTCTGTTCTGGTCTCCATTCTACAGAATGTGAATCTGCCCGGAGGTCAGCTTGCTGGGTTTGCAGTGTATACATCGTTAATGCTACCAGAGCCGTCAGTCATCCACTCTTGTCCCCAAAGTGCTACTACTAATTTTGGTGTCACCATTCCTCCACCTCCTCCCCAATATTTGAGAGTGTCAGAGTTTTACAGTTTCGTCAATATCTTGTTTCACCATTGGCCCTGGTACTCAGAGACTCCCGCTCCCCATCCCAGGAAGCCAGGGACCCCTGTGCTCGGGCGCCACTGTGTTCGGTAACTCGTAAAGTCGGCCGATCATCAGAATTGCCAAGGGAGCTTTAAAAAATCCACATCACTCTTGTCTCGTCCAGAACCAACCATCTTAGGATGGTTCCTTGGTATTTGTAAAGGTTTTTCACATTGTTCGGCTCGATCGGAGAAAACTCTGCTCAGATCGTGGGCAACTTCGGAGCGTGACTCCTCGTTTTTGTTTTGTCTTTAAAAGAAATGAGACTCCCCTCCACCTGGATCTACTCAAGTGTATTATGCCTTAAAGATCAGAGAGCTGTAGATTCTATTATAATAAGTTAGTAACAGCAGTGTGAGTACTCAGGGGTCAGGTACTAGCAGCAGTATCTCTAAATGGCTGTTCTAAATGATTTCCAGAAACTCATTCACCAGTCCTTAGCATAAGCCAACAAGATAGGAACCATTTTGATTGGCATTTGACAAAGAAGAAAGTGGAAGTGCAGAGAGGGCTCTGCATTCTCCCCAAGTCCACACAGCTGGGTGATGGGGGAGCTGGTGATGAACCCCAGGTGACATGGCCCTCAAGCCTGGGCTCTTTAACCACCGCTGCCTGGGAGTTTGGGTGTGCCGAGTGGGGCGTTGAAAAGCTTGCAGAGCACCCACGGTAATGTCCCCACACTTGGTGGCATAAAGCCACAGAAGGTAGTATCTCATGGAGTCTGTGGGCCAGGAATCTGGGTGCCCCTCCGCTGGGTCGTCTGGCTCTCGATCTCTCACAGGCCGCTGTCAGCCGGGGCTCAGCTGGGGCAGGATTCGGCTCCTTGTGGATGTTGCACTGAGGGCCGTGGTCCTCCGCTGTTTCATTGGAGGCCACCCTCGTTCGCTGCTCCCCTGGCCTCTCCGTAGGTCACCTCCCTTGTCAGCTGGCTTCCTCCCAGCGAGCAAGGTGGGAGGCAGAGTCTTTGTAACCTGATCAGAACCGGCCTCCCGTCCCTTCTGTCTCGCTTACGAGAAGCGGTAGGAGTGGGTCTCACCAGGGCACGGAGTACGAGGAGGTAGGGGTCCTTGGGAGCCATTGAAGAAGCTGTCTCCCCTCCAGGTAGAAGAAACAGCTCCACGAGCTGCTGTTCTGACGACCCAGTGACACAGCATGAACGTGCCTTGAAAATGACACATTCTAAGGGACTTTTATGTCCCCGATGCACCTTTTGGGTGGGAGGGGAGCTTTTTCTCCCACGCGGCTGCTGCTTTTACCCCTGGCCCGTACCTGGTCTGACCCGTGGCTTCTAGACCGTGGCTGACGTCAGGACCGCCTGTGTCCTGGAAGCAGCAGCTCAGAGCGTGTGGGTGGGTGTTTCCTGGGGAGTCAGAGTCATTATCTCTTCCGGAATGACTTTTGTTCCGGCCCTTCCAGCCTTTAGTTTTTCAAGTTCCAGGACCGTGGGCTCTGCTGAAGTCATTTGAGGGTTGAATCATCATCAGATAGTCCCTAATATCAGCCGTTCTTGGATAAGTGAGCAATATACCCACCTTCCTTTGGCTGGGAAGGGCTCTCGTTCCCAGATACACATCCTGTTTTATGAGATGTGGCCCCACATCTTCTCACAGCAAGACCAGCACTTTACCTCGGAGTAGGGGGTACTTCTCAGATGGGAAAAATCTTATCATTATTTTAAACTTTCAAAAACATTTTTCAACATTAATTCACTTTTTTTTAACATGTTTTATTTATTTCTAGGAGAGAGAGAGACACAGCTTGAGCAGGGGAGGGTCAGAGAGAGAGGGAGTCACAGACTCTGAAATGGGCTCCAGGCTCTGAGCTGGCAGTCAGCACAGAGCCCGACGCGGGGCTCGAACCCACGAACCGCGAGATCATGACCTAAGCGAAAGTCGGACGCTTAACTGACTAAGCCACCCAGGCGCCCCCAACATTAATTCATTTTTGAGAGACAGAGACAGTGGGAGCAGGGGAGGGGCGGAGAGACAGGGAGACACAGAATCGGAAGCAGCTCCAGGCTCTGAGCTGTCAGCACAGAGCCCGACACGGGGCTCCAACTCACTAGCTGTGAGATCATGACCTGAGCTGAAGTCGGACGCTTAACCGACCGAGCTACCAAGGCGCCCCATATTTACCATTATTTTAAAATAGCAATCCCCCCTTGCAAGGTTATAAAAAACAAACCATTGAATTAAATCATTCAGAGCAGATACATGCATCAAGAAGGAGGTCAAACTATTCATCTTTATTTTCAGCACCCAAAGACCAAGCACTCATCCCTCTTCAGAGAATTTCCCTTTTAGTTTTCTTCTACCCATATACGAGTGTAAATACCCACACGCATTTGTATGAACCTGGCATTGAGCATCACGTGAGGCTTTCTAACCTCTCCCCGCCATCGAACAATATGTGTGATGAAAATGTTCTCATATTAGTAGAGTGTGATTTTTATGATTTTAATGTGTGCGTGGTGTTTTGTTGAAAGAGTATACCATTATTTAATTAAATATTCTTTTCACGGATATTTCACGTTTTTCATTTCTCACGACTAAAAGTCAGTCTGTGAGCATCCATCTTTGTTAGGCTATCTTTAATGACATGCATGGGATTGCTAAATTTTCTTGTTTTCTGACCTGTCTCCCTTTTTATATGTGCCTTTGACATGAAAATTAGCCTTCAGGCTCAGGGACAGCTCTCTGTTTTCCAGAAACCTCCCTAAACTCTTCTAATGCAGCTGTTCTCGCCCTGAGGCCGTTTTGCCTCCAGGGGACATTCGGAAAAGTTGGGAGACATTTTGGTCGTCACCAGTCAGGGTTGATGTCCTCTCATTGGTAGAGGCCAGGACAGCCTCCTAACGAGGACACTGCCAGGGCCAGCAGTTCAGTTACCACGCGCCCCTGTATCCTCCCTGGCATTTGGAAGTACCTGCCCAGTCGCCCGTTGTGAGGCAGCGTCAGCTGGGCTGTGACACATCTTGGTTTGGTGACCATCGGCAGGTATGGGCACAGTCACCTCGCTCATCAGCCCTCCCGACACGTACGAGCTCGTGGATGGTGCTGGGCAGGGACTTCACCCACGCACCAGGCAGAGTCCTTCCTTGGCCTGCATCTCAGTCTTCTCGGAGTTTCTCTGGGGCTCGTGTGCCTGTGTGTCCAAGAGGAAGGCTGCCATGGCCACTTTCTTGTTGTCTCGTACAGATGTTCTACCGTCCTCCCCCCCCCCCCCCATGGAATGATGGAGGCGGATCGGTGCTGTAGATCATACCCTTGCCCTTGTTTGAATAAAAGAGGCCTTTGAACAGGGTCCAGGATCAGACCACAGTGGAAAAAGACGAGGCCCCAAAACAATGCCGTGCAAGCACCAGCCCTCTGTAAATGCGCAGCGTAATCGTATGGGAGCGGGGTAACCTTGTGATGAACCGGGTGGGAGGAAGTGAGCGACGGGAGGAGACAGTGGTGCGGTGTTTGTATTGGACGAGCTGCCTGCGCCCTCCGCGCAGAGGAAGCTGGGGAGGGGACGCCGTTTCCTGCGCTCTGTTGTCAGGCACCGTTTGGGTGAAGGGAAGAGGGAAAAAAGCCCCGGGACGCTTTCATGTTCAGCCCCCGCGGCCATCGCTGGCCCGAGTCCCGAGCAGGCATAGGTGTGTGTGACCCATCGGAGATGTCACGTGCCTGCCTGTCTGCTGGCTTCAAGGAGGCAGGTGCCTCCTCGCGGCCGGCAGTGCTTTTGTGAGCAAAGCACGGAGTTCTCCAAGATTGTCAGTGATTCCAGAGGGCCCTGGAAAGCCGTTTTAAAGGAAATGTGTACCCGTCATTTGGCTCTGTGTATTTATGTCATATTTAGTAACGAGTTTACACGCATGCATTCTGGGCTGCCCAGGGTAGCAAATCTTAGGCATGAGGTGGTAATGACCATGCTCTGTTCCCTCCGCCCTCCCTCCCCCTCCCCCCAGGCTCCCTGTGATGTGAGTTTCCGAGGAAGGGGTCATGGAATAAGAACCAGGGATAAGAGCCGTTGTTCCTTAAAGCCAGGATTCCTCAGCCCCCGTGCTGTTGACATTGGGCCACCTGATTGTTGGCTGTGGCTGTCCTGTGCACTGCAGGACACATGGCAGCATCCCTGGCCTCTATGCGCTGGATGCCAGCAGCACTCACCCCCTGTGACAACCGCAAAAGTTTCCAGACACTGTGACATGCACAGTCCCCTCCACTGAGAACCGCTGGGCAAAGCCTTGGTCCCCACACACAGTGCGGTTGAGGGGCACACGGAGTTAGCATCGCCCTTGCGGGGCTGTTTACGCCGAGCGGGCGTTTTCTGCGTGCCTGGCCCTTGGCTGTGTGCTGTGGCTCGGTGACTTCATTTAAGCCCAACAGCCTGTGCGGTAAGAGTTGGCAATGTTCCCGATTTACGGGTGGGAGCGCTGAGGTGCAGAGAAAAGAAGCAGCGTGTCTGAGTGCACACGGCCAAAAGCTGGTGTCAGGGCTAAGCCTTTGGCTCCTGGGTCATGGTGTTACCTACCCCCAGAAAAGCTGGTCGGCGTGAACAAAAATCCGGGTCATTTGATCTCTAGCAAGTCCTCAGGTAGACCCAGGGGTCTGGAATGATCGGGATTAGCAGTTCTCAGCGAAGGCAGTTTGCTTATGTCTGGAGACATTTGGGTTGTCCCCATGGGGGTGTGGCTGGCCTCTAGTGGGGACAGTTCAGGGACGCTGTAGAAGGTCCTGGAGTGCACAGGCCAGCCCCTCTCCGCCCCCCAGCAAGGAACCCTCCAGCCCGTATGTGAATAGTGCCAAAATGGAGAACCGCACCTCGGATGAGCACCTTACTTTGCCGTCTTTTCGGGTAGACCGCGGTTGGGTGATCCTGGCAATTCTGTGTGTAAATTTAAGACGATCTTGCAGCGTGGGAGTCCATTCCTGTTGAGATAGTAATAACTTGAAAAACAAAGTTCTCATGTCCTTTTGATCTTGCTTTTCATCATTTAATGCTTTTCCAAATGCTTTGAGTTTTCTTCTATTTTGGGTGGCCTTTGCCCCAAAGTGAGCCCTTCCCGCCTCCCCCTTCTGGCTTTTTATCTTTGTCCAAGTAATGAACCATCAGCGTCCCCTGAGTAGGCTTTGTACGCCATCCATCATGGGAAGTGGGTACCGGAGCCGAAAGTGGGTGTTCTCCTGAGTGTTCATTCTGTCATGCCCCCCCCCCCCAGGATGAATCGACGGGAGAGATCACGTTCTACATGAAGGGGGCGGACGTTGTCATGGCCGGCATCGTGCAGTACAACGACTGGCTGGAGGAAGAGGTAAGCGGCTGTGGGGAGTGAGGGCTGCAGAAGCACGTTCTGGAGCCTGCCCCTCGCATGGCGTAGTAACGCGGCTCTCTGTACTCGTTATCCGTGGCTGCGTAACACGTTGTCCCCAAACCTAGCAGCTTGGGACAGCACACTTCCATCCCTCACGGATTCTGTGCGTCAGGCATCTGTCCGCAGCCTAGCCAGCTCTTCGCAGAGTCTCTCAAGTGGTTGCTTGGGACCCAGGTCTCATCTGAAGGCTCAAGCGGGGCGAGGCCCACTCCCAAGCTCACGAGTCACCTCCTCCTCACTGGCGTTTGGCTGGTGGCAGGGGGCAGGAGGGCGGGGATCCTTGGGGGGGTCACGTCACAGGCTGCCTGTCCTGATTGGTGAGGTGGAGGATCGGCCACAGCCAGGGGGGAAGAAACTCTTCCCATTGTCATTTTCTCTCTCAGCTCCAGGTGGGGGGTTGGGGTGGGGGGGATGCCCAGTTTCCATTCAGTAACATTACATTTTCAGGTAGAAGGTTTGCAAACTCAGTACCAACAGGGGCGGGTGAGTCACATGCAACAGGCTAGGGTGTGTCTTTCCAGTAAGGTGGCACGTTGTGTGTTAAGCATAACAGAATATTCTTCACCTGACAGCCGTTTTTTGGGAATACATGGAAGCAGCTGCTTTTCATCCATCTTTGGCTGTGGTCATTTGGGAAAGCAGGTGTGGTGGCGTCAGAGGTTTGGGGTTTTTTTTCCCCAACAAGCCGGAAATCCAGATTTGTCTGTGAAGTCTTACGGTGCTGCTGACTGAGCTTTTGAAGCATATATTGCGCCCAGTGGAGAAAACCTATGCATAGACCAATGTTTGGCCTGCGGGCTGCCATTTGCAATCTCCCTTTAGAAGGCCTGCTTCAAGGAAGGTTGCTATAGGGGAAGGCGATGTTCGAATTGGCCAGTTTCCCTGTGCCCCTGGTAGGGGTCTGTCCACGTTAGCATCCAGCCCTCCTCCGTGAGAGTCCAGGGCTCGGAAGCAAGGCCCTTAGTGCGGCCCTCCGCTGACTGTGGTCTGCTTTTCAGTGTGGAAACATGGCCCGAGAAGGACTGCGGGTTCTTGTGGTGGCGAAGAAATCTTTAGCAGAGGAGCAGTATCAAGACTTTGAAGTAAGTGGTCCCATGACCTTCCCATTATTTTTTGCCTTCCTCCGCACCCCCCCCCCCCACCTCTCCTTTTGGTCTCCCCCTCGCTCAGTCTGCTCTGGCCACACCGATGTCCTTTCTGAGTGCCCCAGGCTCACTTCTGTCACAGGGCCTTTGCACTTGCCATTCTCTGCCCAGAACTCCCTTCCTGCACAGAGCTCCATGGCCTGCTCCCTCACCTCCTTTGGGTCTCTGCTCAAATGCCGCCTCCTCCGAGAAGCCTTCCCGGACTCCCCATCTAAGGCAGCTCCACCCCACCGCTCGCCATCCATCACTCCGCTTAACTTTCTTCACTTAATCACCATCCAGACTGACCTTGTTTATATGTTTACATCTGACATTCTTCCTAATAGCCCCTTCTGGGAATAAAATCTTTCCGAGAGCAGAGACTGTCAGTCTGGTTTGCTGTTACATCCTGACGCTCAGGATGGTCACTGGCACGGAGTACACCTTCTGGAAAACGAAATGAATCACCCCCTTGGAGCCCTCAGTGTTTTAAGTTGTAAAAAGAGTTTAACTGGGTCATTGGCTTTCACAGCTCAGGGCTGCAGCGTAGATCTGTCTGGTTCATTGCCTTCTTGTCCCATGGACTGCGTGTTCCTTGCGGGAAGGGCCCTTGGATCCCCGGGCCTCAGGACTGTGAGGGAGGGACGGGTGACTGGGGACAGGCCTCTGGGGTCCTCTCGTGCCTCACCCAGAGGAGCTGTGCTTGAGCCTGTCTCGTCCGTGCGCTTGAGTTCTTGGTAAAGCTTTATTTAGCAAGAGTTCCGGCCCCGGTAGATTCGACTGTCTTTTCAAGTTTAAAGGCATGTGTTTGAATCAGCTCCTGAGGGGAGTTTTGATTTTCTTCCATGTATTTACTAAATTCTCGAAAGTGGCTTAAATGGAAGGGTGGGGCCAGCGGTCCTTGGAGGCGGGACTTTGTCTTCAGAAAACCCAGCGATCAGGGATGCTTGGTCACAAAGCGCATGTTGTGGCAGAGCCTGCTGTTTTCTTTGAGATCCGGGGGCACCAATCCTTGTAACAACCTGGTGAGGCTGGGGCTCTTGTGGCTGCTTCGTGGAAGAAAACAGCTAAGGCTCAGATAAATTGAGCCACTTGCTAGAAGTTGCACAGCCAGCGAAGTACAGAGGAAGGGGTGGGGCCGGGCCCTGGCCGAGGTCTGGGCCGAGAGTCTCGGTTCATCCCTTTGGGGTCCAGCCACGTGCCGCCGCCCCCTCCCTTGGCGTTGTACCCCCGACGCCCCGACACCGGCCGGCCCGGCCCCTCCCCCGCCCCCGCAGTGACTGTGCGCCCCTGCCCTGCCCCAGGCCCGCTACGTCCAGGCCAAGCTGAGCGTGCACGACCGCTCCCTCAAAGTGGCCACCGTGATCGAGAGCCTGGAGATGGAGATGGAGCTTCTGTGTCTCACGGGGGTGGAGGACCAGCTGCAGGCGGACGTGAGGCCCACCCTGGAGACCCTGCGGAACGCGGGCATCAAGGTAGGGAGCACCTGCGGCGGGCTCGGCCGCCCAAACAGCCGCCGTCCTGTGGGGGTGGGCTTCGGAAGGGTGGCTGCAGCCGGTGTGGGGGTTAGTGGGGGGGGGGGGGCGCATGGGCGGTGACCCAGAGCCCTGTCCCAGACGGCCTGTCGCCTCACTCCTGCTCCCCGCCGGCCCCCCTCCCCATCCTGCTCTTGGAAGAGGCTGGTGCGTTTGCCTTTAAACCCCACCCCCGCCCCCCAAGGCCACAGGGGTTGCCCGTAGGCGGGGCCACGTGCATCCCCTCACCGCTCAGTCAGGGCCAGGCCGTGTCAAGATGCTCAGGATGTTCAGTACATTCTTGCTGGGTGACCCGACGGCCCGCGTCTGCCTGTTGTTCTGGGTGAATGAGTGACCGCCCTCACTCGTAAAACGCCGTATTTACGCTGTTTGGGGCCAAAAAGAGAAAAAAAATGCCAACAATCCAGTAGTTTGATCCGGAGAGGCCAGTAGAGGGCGTCGGAGGAGCAGGCTACCCCTCCCAGGACCCAGCGGAACAGCCTCAGCGGCTTGCAGCTTCTGGAACCCTGTTCTGTGTGCTGCCCGCCTCCGCCCAGAGCGCCTCCCCGTTGCGTCCATGGGCCGGGACGTGGCCCAGGCTCCTGGGAGCGGGGCCACACTACTCACTGAGCTGCGGCCACACCCGGGCCACGGCGGGGGCCACTCGCTCGCGTGCGGGCACGTTTCCCGGGAACCAGATTCCGTCCCGTGTCTTCGGCCCTCGGGCCTGGCTCGCTGCGAGGGAGTCGTCGGCGAGGCCCCGCGTTTGGAAGAAGCGCCTGAGGTCAGAAGGGCGGGTGTCCGTGGCAGCGTGCGCCTCAGTCTGTCACACGGGCGCCTTCTGCGACCGCGTCCATCCAGGCGGTGGGATTCTGCCTTCTGCTCTGCCTTCATCCCAAGCCGCGTCTCCTCAAAGCCGCTCTCACCGAAAGGCGGGATGTTTCTTTCCCTCTGGGGACCCGACTTCTCTTTCTGGTTTCCCTGGTAAGACAGGAGGGGGAAGGGAGCGCAGGGGCGAGGGGTGTGGGGACCTCACCAGTAGGGTTTAGCGGGAAGCTCTTCCATGGCCAGAAGGTGTCGGCACTTGGGAAATGTCTACCTCAGCCCCTTCCAGGATGCGGCAGCCGAGGGTCCTGGGGCTCAGGTCTGGGCACTTACCTGCAGTGCCTGCCCCCTGTCGTCCCCACGTGGGACATCAGTCAGCAATGACTTGCCATGGTTTTCTAGAACCTGAGCCTCCCAGCTCCATCCCCGGGGTCTGCTCTCCTACAGCAGACCCCGGAAACTGGCCCCAAACTGGGGTCACCTAAAAGGTTATTGTTTATATGGCCGGATGGGGTTTTGAGAGAAGAGGCTGACACCCAGCAGGGTGAAGCCCGGGGCCCAGGGCCCCCGGGAGGGCCGGTGCCTGCGGCCTGGCTGCCCCACTGCCTGGGTTGGAATCTGGTTTCTCCACTGACTACCTCGGCGCTCCTTGGCCAGTGGCTTGACTTCTCAGCACCCGTTTCCTGCCTTATAAAGTTACCCTGAAGGCCACGTGCACCAAACACGGAAGGGCTTGACGGACGCCTGGCACGCCGATTGCTCGGGAAGCCGTTGCCCTTTTCTTTCCCGCACCTCCCCCACTGCCAGCGCGTCCTTTGCCCTGTGATTCTGCGCCCTTCCCTGCCGCGGGCGGAGAGAAGGGCTAGCGGAGCGGGAAGTGCGTCCGTGTGGACGTGGAAGACCTGGATTGAGGCTGTGTGGCTTTGGGACGGGTCCCTCCCCTCTCTGAGCTCACAGCAGCAAAATGCAGACTGGTCTGTTTGGAGGTGTGGAGGGACTTGGCACACGTACCCTTGGCTTAACCAGCCACAGAGAAGGACCGTACGCAGCGGAACAGACCAGTGCTTCCTGCGGGACACGGAAGTGGCCCCGTCCCCACACAGCCTTCCCTTCTCTGAGATTTTTTTTTTTTTAATTTTTTTTTTTTAATGTTTTATTTATTTCTAGGAGAGAGAGAGAGACAGCATGAGCAGGGGAGGGTCAGAGAGAGAGGGAGTCACAGACTGAAACAGGCTACAGGCTCTGAGCTGGCAGTCAGCACAGAGCCCGACGCGGGGCTCGAACCCACGAACCGCGAGATCATGACCTAAGCAAAAGTCGGACGCCCAACCGTCTAAGCCACCCAGGCGCCCCCCTTCTCTGAGATTATTTATTGCTTTGAGAAAAATTTCCAGAAGAGGGATTATGAGGTCAGAGGCCAAGCTTCATGACGTCTGTTAAAGCGTGTGGCCAAGTGCTTTTCTGAAAGTACCATACCAGCCTTGGCTGCCACCAGCAGTGGTCACTGGGGGTCCTCGGGCCCTTGCGGTGGGCTCTTCCTGTCATGTGCTGGGCACACCAGGAGCCTCGAGGGAAATGGGATAAGTCATGTTTCGCTCCGTGTTCTTGGGAACTGGGCTGACACGGGCTCCGGGCCGGCCTTGAACGCTTACAAAGAGGAGGCCCCCTTGTGCTGCGATTGCAGGTTTGGATGCTGACAGGGGACAAGCTGGAGACAGCCACGTGCACGGCGAAGAATGCACATCTGGTGACCAGAAATCAGGACATCCACGTTTTCCGGCTGGTACAGTGTTCTCTGCGTGGGGGCCTCGCGGGGGTGGGGATGCAGTTTTGCCCTATGACCTCGTAACCTTGAGTGGGCCCCTAAAATGGGGGGGGCCTACATCACTGGTTTGGGTGGAATTACTGAGGGACTCTGGCGAGGCTCCAGGGCTCCTTCCCGGGGTGGCTCAGAAGCACCTCGTTACTGCCGTGTTCTTAACCCAGTGGGGGTCGCGGTCCCTTCGAGAAGCTGACGAAAAGCAGTCGGGATGAAGGATGCAGATGAGCCCGTGCATGTGACATTGTACACACGAGTCCAGATTCCACTGAACCCTGGGAGACCGAGTCCTTGGATAAGAAATAAATTCCGGATCGCAGATGTTGGGCCATCTGCCCTCCTGCAGAAAACCCTTCAGGAGCCTGTAGAGAGAGGTCTGTCGGGCGGGCAGTCGAGAAATTTCCTGCCCTTGTGGCAAGCACTTGACCCCAACACTGCAGGCGTGGGGAGGTGAGGAGGTGCCCTAAGGCAGAAGCCGAGACCGGCCTGAACGAGTGCGGGGGAGTGGGGGCGAGCGCTGCGCTGCGGCGGGGCGGCAGCCCTGCTCCTGAAGCCGGGGACCCCGTGCCCAGCAGCAGGGAGGGGGGCTCCGCATGTGGTGGGAGTCCCCTCGCCCCCGCCTTTGATTCCCGCCACACAGAGCGCTCGGGATGCGGCAGTCCTGGGGATATGGCACCAACGGTGTTGTGCGGACGCGGGTCTGGTCAGTCCCCGTTATACACAGACTCCACGTTTGCAGATTCACCTGCTCCCTGAAACGTACTGGTAACCCCCAAACCAGCGCTCAGGGCGCTTTCGTTCACAGTCCTCTGTGGACACGCGCAGGGCAGCGGGACATCATCGTTGCCCCACGCGCACCCCCAGCTGAGATCAGACCAGGCCGTCAGTCTTCTCCGCTCTCATACGCACACAAGCCCAGTTCACGATCTACTTGGTGCCGCTTTGGGCTTTTTTTGGTTTTGTTGTTGTTGTTTTAGTTTTTTTTGTATTTGCATTTTTGTGTTAGTGATTTCACTGTTTAAAATGCGTTGCTGAGCTCAGGAAGGCTCTGATGTGCCTCATGGAGAAAGTACATGTGTTGGATAATCTTCCTCCGGGCACGAGTTACAGCGCTGTTGCTTATGAGTTCAGTGCTCATGAATCAAAAAAATCTGTTTTAAAAGACGTCTTTAAACAGAAACACATATAAAGCAAGGTTATGTATCGATGGACAAGAATATGGTGGCCAGAGGTGCACAGGAACCTGGCCCCCTGGCCCCCACACAGGAGCCACAAAGGAATCGTGATCTGTTAAGTTGATGTTCACAGTGACTTTCTAGAGTGTGGCCATTGGAAATAACAAACACGGACCGTATGTTCTATACATTCTCTACTCTATGCATTCTGTGTATTCAGGGGTTACGATAGTCCATGTGACCACCTGCTTTTGTAAATAAAGTTTTATTTAAACACAGATAGGCCTGTTTGTTTACATATTGCCTGTGGCTGCTTTGATGCTAAGGCAGCAGAGCTGAGTCGTTTTGGCAAAGACTGTAGGGTCCACAGAGCCCACGGGGTTTGCCATCTGGTCTGTTCCAGAGAATTTGGCCGCCCTCCCAGATGCTTGGCTCCTGACGCCTGCTTCGCAGCCCCTAGACGTGCGCCTTAGAGGCTCACGCGTCTCTCCCACTTTCGTGTCCTCACGCGTCAAGTACAGCCGTTACCATTACGCACCTTGTAGGGTTGCTGTGAGAAGTCAGTGGGGAAAATCCATGAAAAGCGCTTAGCACAGTGCCTGGCGCTCCATGAAAGTACAGCCATTTTTAGCTCTTGTTTTTATTATGCAGGGCCCTGCTGTCCTGGGGGAAATGCGAGGTGATGGCTGGCACACAGGCCTTCCCAAGTCCCCCGGACGCATAACACACAGGATTTAATTTGGCTCTGGGTCTGGCGGCAGGGGCAGGGCGGGGGTCTGTGGCTGGGGTGGCCACTGTTGTCTTCTTTTTTTAATGTTTTATTTATTTCTGAGAGAGAGAGTGTGAGCAGGGGAGGGTCAGAGAGAAAGGGAGACAGAGAATCTGAACCAGGCTCTAATCTGAGCTGTCAGCACAGAGCCTGACGTGGGGCTCGAACCCATGAACCGTGAGATCATGACCTGAGCCGAAGTCAGATGCTCAACTGACTGAGCCACCCAGGGGCCCCGGGTGGCCACTGTCTTCACCCCGGCTTCAGGAAGCCACTGCTGGCCCTTCTCCCGTGTCCGGAGGGCGGGCCGCGGCAGCCTCCACGCCTGTGTTCCCTTGCAGGTGAGCAACCGCAGCGAGGCCCACCTCGAGCTGAATGCCTTCCGCAGGAAGCACGACTGTGCCCTGGTCATCTCCGGGGACTCCCTGGAGGTGGGTGTGGGGGCCCTGCTGGCCGGGTCCTCCCGGGAGCGCGGGCCCTTCCTGCTTCGGTGGGGGCCGTGACCTTGGCTGACCCCCCCCCCCCCCCGCCTCCCCCTCCCAGATTTGCCTCAAGTTCTACGAGTACGAGTTCATGGAGCTGGCCTGCCAGTGCCCGGCTGTCGTGTGCTGCCGCTGCACCCCCACCCAGAAGGCGCAGATCGTGCGCCTGCTCCAGGAACGCACCGGGAAGCTCACCTGTGCAGTGGGTAGGCGCCGCCCCCGCCCCCCTTGGGCCCGGCCGGCCGGCACCCCGACTCATCTCTGTAAGGGGAGCGGGGTCCTGCCACGGCCTCCTCTACTCAGGTCCCCATCTCCTCCCCCAACCGGCGTTGGCTCGAGAATTGTTATTATTTTAGTAGTTCCCTTTGAGCTAGAGTAGATAAACGTGTTCTGGGGCTCTCCTCCGCAGCTTGCTCTTCCTTTGCTGGCGATGCAGGAAGCAGCAGGGCAGAGGGCTGGGGGCCGCACGCCCTGGAATGGATCTGGGTTCCCAGTCCGTGCTGGTTTTACTCACTGGGCCCCCGCCCGAGCCTCGGTCTGCCCGTTGGTAGAATGGGGTGATAAGCACTCAGACGGTGCTGATGTGGATGGAAGGGGGTAGATTTAAAAAGTGCTCGCCGCAGGGCACAGTGGGCGCACAGCCGGTCACTGCTGCTGGCGTCCTGTGGCACTGCGCGCGCCCATAGGCAGGGGTGCGGTGCTTGTAGACGCTGGGGTGGCGCGGACGCATTCCCCCTGCCACCGCTCCGTGGCTGGGACTCTCGCCAGCCACCTGGTATCCCCGACGCTCAGCTCCTCTGTGTGTGAGACTGGGGTGTTGGAGTGATTAAATGGAGCCGCGCAGAAGACACTCAGCGGAAGGCAGAGCGCGTGCGATTATGCAGAGCTGGAATGAAATGCGGGGTCCTGTTTCTCGCCTCTCTCCCAATTTCCCGGTTTTCTCTCTGGTCCGTGCGGCCCGCAGGTGATGGAGGCAATGACGTCAGTATGATTCAGGAATCGGACTGCGGCGTGGGGGTTGAGGGGAAGGTGAGTGCGGGGTGTGGGGGTGTGGGTGCCGCTGGCTGTGGAGGGGCCGGTGCTGGGAGGTGCTCTGCTTCGCTCAGGGGCACTTCTTTTCCCCTGGAAACTCAGCTTTGATGCTTCTGCAAACTCTTGGTTAGAATTACGAAGTCTAAGGAGCCGCGTCACCTAATGAGCTGGGAGTCGGACATGCATGTCACTGTATTTTACCTACAACAGTGCCAATTTTTCACATGTCAAAACTTAAATTGAAAAAAAAGTGTTTTGCTGTATGTTAGGCACAGTGGATGCACTTCAGACTTTTCCGTGGTACTTGCAGCGTCCACAAAAGCATCAGTTACCGCGCCACATGTTCATGTGGGGGGGGGGTTATGGAGGGGCGTGGTGGGGTTTGTCACTAAAAGGCTTTGGCAGCTGGTGTGTTTTATAAAGTTGGCGAATTACAGCCTAGTTGCTATTTTCTGTCCTTGTCACGTGTGTTCTCACCTCCCGGAGTCTACTCTGTCCTAATTTGTGACCTCTAAATGACCGTAGGCGAGATTGGGTACCAGGCTCGTTAGAACTGTGTCAAACAAGAGTCCAGAGGCCCCGAGTGAGGGCCAGAGACACTGTCCTGTGCGTTTTGTCCCGTAGCTTCATGGATTGGGCTAGTCCATCCATATGCTTTTCAGATTTTCTTTCTTCCCACCCTTTCTGGTTTTGTGGTGCTTGTCCAGCTGACAATTATTTGAAGCTACAGAATTCAGTGATCTTTGAGATCTTGCTGGAATGGGCCCTTTTATGCAGGTGTGACCCCCACTGTGGCGTCCATCATGCATCTTTTAAAATTAGAGAATCCCATTAGAGGGTTGCACTTTGATTAATGAGCAAAGTTGTATGCTCAGGAATGTTCCATTTGGTATCGTTAGTAGCCTCTGCCCTTCCCCCTCCCCTGGCCTCACCCTCAGCCTCACGTTTCACTTAGAAGAACCGAGTGTTGTCAAGCGCCTATCTCTGATGATTCTTTGCTTCTGATACCCATTATGGGGTGGGCCTACCCCCCTCCCCCACGGCTTACTATTAACTAGATCCATTTGCCCTCCAAATTATAACTCTCTGTGATTTAGAATGTTTTTTATTTAAATACATTCCTCTTTTTAAATCCAACTCAGACTCGGACCACCAACCGAGTACAGCGTGAAACCAAAGAAGCTCTTTTAGACGTTTCCCAAAGATCCCCTTACAACATCTTGCTTTTTAGGTTAAAAACCAAAAAAAAAAAAGCGTTTGCCTTGACCTCTTGTGCTCCTGATGGTGCCCAATTTTATTGGATTTTAGGAAGGAAAACAGGCTTCCCTCGCTGCCGACTTCTCTGTCACCCAGTTCAAGCATCTTGGCCGGTTGCTCATGGTGCATGGTCGGAACAGCTACAAGCGGTCGGCTGCCCTCAGCCAGTTCGTGATCCACAGAAGCCTCTGCATCAGCACCATGCAGGTGGGTGAGGGGCGGGGGAGGGGCTCTGCACAGGCACGTGGGGACAAGGCTGTCCCTTGGAGCTGTCATCCCATCTGACCGGTGTAAACCCCAAACTGGACTGACCCTGGAGTGCCACAGATCCCTCCCCTGGCACACGGTGGGGGCCGCCCTTGCTGGGGGGCAGCAGATGCAGGTGTTAGCGCTGGTGCCTGTCTGGTGCTTGGCATGAAGCAGATGTGGCGTAAATGCCCAGAGCTGTTACGATCGGTTTGCCAGAGAGAAAAATGCAGAGGTCAGTGCTGGGTGAACGCTCTGGTCCTGACTTTCCCACACGCAAAAATAAGGGCCAGGAGAGAAGAACCACCAAAGAATAACTTGCTTTTCTCGGGCATTTCCTGTACCCTGAGCATCAGGCTCTGAGTCTACCACGCAGGGGCTCATGCAGTCCTCACGGTAGCCTGCGCCCATTTTACGGATGGGGAGCCTGAGGCTCTGGGAGGGTGAGAGATGTGGCTGGGTCCCTCGGGGGTTTCATCCGCATTGGCTTGGAGACCACAGAGCCCGTGGTCTCCATCACCGTGTCTCCTTGGGTGCCCTCGATGCAGAGAGGCCGGTGCTGCCTCCGTGGCCCGTGGCCCTGGGGTGTGTCTGACATCACGGATCTGCCTCCCGCCGTCCCCAGTGGGAGTCGAGCTCCCTTATTGCGATTGTTCATCTTCTCAGGAGTAACATCTTACGCCCATCTTGTTTCTCACAAGAAGATTGTAGAGTGTTTTCCCACCTTCGCTCTCCCCAGCTCCTTTAAACATCCGTTGTCAGGCTGCAGCGATTAAGTGCGCACTCAGAGGAAGGCCGAAGGATGGGAAAGAAACCATTTTGGGTGTTGAAACGCTATTGACGGATTCTCGTCCATGGGCATTTAGGTGAAAACACCCCCATTAAGTGGTGAGAACACAGGGCTGATGCGTCTCGGAGCCCACCTCTCTTTCTGGCCCCACCACTGTATATCTCTGAGACTTTGAGAAAGTCATATGACCCCTCTCAGCCTCAGTCTTCCATTTGTGACATTGGGCTGATAAGATGTGTCTTGCCCCCCCGGACAAGGCCACTGTGAGAAGCAAAGGTTGAGGAGGAATCAGTGCTGAAGGCGTTCTTACCACTGTTAGCAAACACACGACAGGAAGATGTGTGCTGGGAGGGGACGTTTTAATCTGTGGGAAAGGCTCTTAATCATAACATAAAAGGCATCGTGCCTTTCCAGGTAGGTCAAGTGGTGCTGCCATATGCACGTGAGGCCGCCCCCTCCTCCTTTTTTTTTTTTTTTAAATTTTAAAAATCTTTATTTTTGAGAGAGAGAGACAGAGCGTGAACAGAGCCGGGGCAGAGAGAGAGAGAGGGAGACACAGAATCTGAAGCAGGCTCCAGGCTCTGAGCTGTCAGCACAGAGCTGACGCAGGGCTCGAACTCCCAAGCCGTGACCATGACCTGAGTCGCAGTCACTCGCTTAACCGACTGAGCCACCCAGGCGCCCCTGATTTTATTATGTTTTCAATATCTATTGCATTTGTGAGCATAGAAGCCTTCAAGTGATTTTTATCAACATGATCAAAACGGCTGTTAGGAATCATCAGGCCACATCTGTACTTTATTTTTTAAGTTTATTTATTTATTGAGAGAAAGAGCACACGTGCAGTGTGCAAATCAGGGAGGTGCAGAGTGAAAGGGAGAGAGAGAATCCCAAGCAGGCTCTGCGCTGATGGAGCAGAGCCCCGATGCAGGACTCAAACCCACGAACTATGAGATCGGGACCTGAGCTGAAGTCAAGATCTTGTCGGATGCTTAGCTGCCTGACCAGGTGCCTCAGACCACATCTGTACTTTTAATTTATGTTAGCTCATGAATCAATCTGGATATTACTATGGTTTAATCACTGGGAGATTAATCAGCGTGGTCCCGGGCCTGCTCACAAAAGCTGGCCTGAATAACACCTGTCTGTTTCTATGAACATCTATCTGGAAAAAAAATTCCAGGGTGAGAAATTGTTCTTTGTGCCGTGGAAAAATGCCCTTCGCCCCTGTCCACTGTGCTGAAAGTGACCGGCTAAGAGCAAGCCCCTGTTAGAACTGCACTTTGATTATGGAAACCAATTTGACAATAAACTATTTGTAAAATAAAAAAAAAAAAAAAAGAAAAGAACTGCACTTTGACGTTGGTCCCTCTGATAGATGCGGCCATAGTGTTTGATTTGCCCTAAAGTGTTCTCTCTGAGATGAGGAAGGCTCTATGGCCAGCCGGGCTCTTTTAGAGGAAGGAGGCTCTTGATGTTGACTTACAAAACTAAACACCAGATTCTTGACATTTTTACAAACGTCCTTTCTGTGCCATAGCCCGGCCTGGGTGGAATGTCATTTGCAAGGTGGCTTTAACCTTTCAGTTCTGAAATAGGACCAGGAAGTGCAGCTGGGGCCGCCCAGGACCGGGGCCCCACGTGGCACCGCATTTGGAGCTCTGCCAGGTGAGCACCCCAGGCAGGTGACCGGGGGGGACACCTCTGATGAGACACCCTCTCTCGTCACCAGCCTGGCTCCACCTTTCTCTTGTGGTTAGTCTTTGAAAAGACTTTAGGCGTCCCTGGCCTCTTTTTGATTTTCTGCTCGTAGGAATTCGCTTTGAGGCCGCTTTCCTTCCGTTAGCCTGTAGATGTCCAGAGAAGGAAGTAACAGCATCAAGTCAGATTTTATCTCCTTAGCCTGGTTTTCACTGCCAGCAGCTAATATTTTCCAAACCAGGAAGTAGACATCTCAGTAGGGGGTTGTGAATATCGCTCTCGTCGAATTGCAGAGGTGTTGCTGGTGGCGGGCTCTTCGTGAACTTTTCCAGAAATAGTAAAAGCGGTCATGTAAGAAGGGAAGGCTTCGCTGTCACCCCACCCTCCGGGGTAACTGGCGTCGGTCCTCGGGGCAGGTTTATCTTTATGTCGGTTTCCATACATCTGCTCACTTGGCTCCCGGGCACATGCCCAGACAGGCGGGGCTTCTGAGCAGCAGTGCGGGCTCTGCAGACAGAGCTGGGCTTGAGCCCCGCCAGTGCCGTGCACCTGCTCAGACTCCCCATCTGTGGAATGCAGGACTTGATTTCACGGGTGGTACTGGGGACTCACGGAGGTCACACGGAGAGGTCTCCTGGGTGCGGCCTGTGTGACTCAGTCAGTGTTCACAAGGCGGCTTGGAGTGGTCCCTGGAGCCGAATCACCCGGGAACGACTCCTGGCTCTATGACTTGGGAGCTGTGTGTTCATGGGCAAGTCACTTAACCTCTCTGTGCCTTACTCTTCCCCTCTGTAAATGTCTCATGAGGTGGTTGTAGTTGTTAAATGAGCTGATTTACTTCAGGCACTCACAGCTGTGTCAGTGCAGTTTGTGCTACGTCGAGTGTCGGGTGTTATTTTATTCTATAAGCGTTAGGGCTTTTAATGATTTTTGGAAACATCTTCCTTTCTCGTTGGCACAGGCTGTCTTTTCCTCCGTGTTTTACTTCGCATCCGTTCCGCTCTATCAAGGATTCCTCATCATTGGGTAAGGAAATCCAGGCAGTGTTACTAATCTTTTATGAAACTTCCCTACAATACCACTGATGAGAGTAGAAACATCGTGTCTAGACCAAGTGGCCAAACTCATTGGTGATTGGCAGCCAGAGCAAGATCGAAGGTTCCCAGACTCCGGGATTTCCCTGGGATCTTAGGAAAAGGGGGAGGGCAGGTCTGGAAGGTACCCTCCCTGCTGAGGACCCAGGGAGAATGGCCTGCTGCCAGGGCTCTAGGGCGGGGTCCATCTCGGGGGATGTTCCTCGCGGAGCCCAACCGCTGTGTGCCACTGACCTGTTAGACGGGGGTCACGTGGACATTTGCTGCCATCGGCTCCGTCCCCGTTCCTGACTTGGAACTCACAGGTGAGAATGTTCCCAGTCTCTGAGCTACCCAGGTAGGTGGAGTTCAGTTACACACGCCCGAGAGAGAGGCGCGTGCAGGGCACACCCCTGGTTGTGAGGAGACGGGGAGCACGGAGAGGCTGGCTGGTCCAGGGGAGAGTCTGGCGAAGAGGTCTGCCTGCTTCTGATCGGAAGAGTGGACTGTCCTTTGTCAGGTCCCAGAAGAATGAAAGAACATGCCAGAGCGTAGGCAGGGGCTCCCTGAAATGTGTTCCAGGTGGCCTTCTGAGGAACCCCCGTCCCTCTCAGTTCCCACATCCTCTCCAGGTGGCCTTCTGCGGACCGCCCGTCCCTCTCAGTTCCCACCTCCTCTCCCCCTCGCTCACCCGGCTCCAGCCACACTGGCTGCCGTGCTGTTCTTCAAACAGGACACACCATCACCTCAGGACCTTTGCATGTGCTGTTCTTGCTGCCTGGGATGTTCTTCCCTTCATTAGGGCATGGCTGCCTCTTACCGTCTATGGGTGTTTACACAGATGTCACATCCCTTGGGCTCCCTCTCTAAAAATCACACCGCCCCACATCTCTCCCTCTCCCCCATTCTAGTTTTCTTCTTAGCACTTACCTGCAGCACACAGTGTAGTTTACCGACTTTGCTGGCTCGCCGACTAGCAGGCTAGCTCCCCGGGGACAGACGTTCCTGCCTGTTTCTCATCCGAATCTCCAGTGCTTAAAACCAGCCTTGGCATGTCATGGGGACTCAGTGAGCAGTTGCTGAATGAATGCATGGAAACTGGGCCCCAGAGGCTGGAGAAGACCTTTTCTGTCTTAACCTGCAGTGATTTTTCTCCACTAGGTACTCCACCATTTACACCATGTTTCCCGTATTTTCTCTGGTCCTGGACAAAGACGTCAAGTCAGAAGTTGCCATGCTGTATCCTGAGCTCTACAAGGATCTTCTCAAGGTCCACAGGCCTCCTCCTTCCCTCCCTCATCCCTTCCCCTCCTCCTTCCCTCCCTCATCCCTTCCCCTCCTCCTCCTTCCCTGGCTTTCTCCCTCCCTCTGTATCTCACACAGACACCCCCCTGCCATATCTGGTTTGAACACTCTGATCTGAACTGGTGACAGCTTTCTTGGGAGGAAGGAGTGGGTTTTATTTTTTTTTTCCCTTAAAAAAGTCCTATATGCACACGCCTCAGGAATATGAAACAGTACAGTAATATGTAAACTGAAAACATACCCACCAACAACTTAAAAAAAAAAAAGGAGCCCCTGACAGTTCCTGTGTGTGTGTGTGTGTGTGTGTGTGTGCGCGCGCGCGCATGATTTCACTTATTTGTCCTCAAGGAGTTTTACCGAGGAGAAGATTTATTCCCACTGAATATCCTTTGTTTTTTAAATGTGTAATTTCTCAAACGTGTCCAGATATGTGTGAGACCCTTTAAAAAATTGTTTTTAACATTCATTTATTTTTGAGAGACAGAGCGTGAGCAGGGGAGGGACAGAGAGAGAGGGAGACACAGAATCCAAGGCAGGCTCCAGGCTCTGAGCTGTCAGCACAGAGCCCGACGTGGGGCTCGAACCCACGAACCGTGAGACCATGAGCTGAACTGAAGTCGGCCGCTTAACCGACTGAGCCACCCGGGCGCCCCAACACTTTTATTATTATTTTTTTAAGTGAAAACAGGCAGGTTGGCTTGTTGGTGGAGGAGAAGCGTGAAGCAGCTGACACCCTGGAGAAGCCAAAGCCCGTAACCTGCTCTTTCTCGTTCTCTCGTTCAGGGACGACCATTGTCCTACAAGACCTTCTTGACGTGGGTTTTGATTAGCATCTACCAAGGTGAGGAACGTCACACCACCTGTCGTGCTTTGCTGGGGTGAACTTTTCTGTGCCCGCAGAACATGGAGAGGCCAGAACCCTGAAATGTGGTTAAGGGGTGGGACGTGAGCCCCGAGGGAGGCCCTCCTCGGCCTGTTCTAAGGACCAGAACATTCCGCACGGTGAGAGGTCTGTGTGGCGGTGCTGTCTGCTTGAGGAGATAAAGTCAGAGAAGACTATAATGAAGACCAATCACAACCTGCTGGGGTGTGCAAGCCATTGTGACAAAAAGTGGCTGCTTTCTGGAATGTTCTGATACTTTTTTTCTGAGGTCCTTATAGTTTTTGAGAAACGTGTTTACTTCAGTGGCCTCCAGGGAGGGTCTCTCAGATTCTGCAGAGACTTTGTAAGATGACTTTTAAGTGTAGGAGGAGAAAATACCAAAGCCCCTGTTGGCGTTTGTTTCTATTTTTACATGTGTTTTATGCCTAACTGTGCAGTGGTCGTAACATCCATCTATGTCTGCCCTGGTGCAGACACACGCTTTACAAATATACACTGTATGTTGGGCAGTGGCGGGTGGGGGGCTTGCTGATGGCGTGTGCAACCAATAGGTGGAGATACTGTTGCATTTGTTGGCAGAAGGTTAAACTATCATTTAAAAAATCGAGGGGATAATTTTTAAGAAGTACGTCAAAGTGTAATACACACATTGGTTTTCGCAGCCACTTTTTGTATGTAAGGGTTCATAACACGAACGCTGAGGCTCCATTTCACCCCTTGGCCGTGAACCCGTCACGATGGGCAGTCGCTTGAGGCGTTCTGGGGTTTAGCGTCACCTGACCCTGACCCTGCCTCTGTGATATTCTTGCGCTGCTCAGACTTGATCTGCGTGAGCACCGTCTGTTTGCTTTCTGCGATGCTGGAAAAACACGTATCTGTTTCCTTCGCCACTTTGGTGCATGATGTTCTGCGTGTTATCTCTGGCATTTTGTGTGTGTGTGTGCGCACACGCGTGTGTGTGTGGTGGGTGTGGGGGCGTAAAACAACACAGGAGTTAAGATTTACCATCTTTTTAAACAAAATTTACATCCAAGTTAGTTAGCATCTAGCGCAACGATGATTTCGGAGTAGATTCCAGTGACTCGTCCCCTACGTATAACCCCCAGTGCTCATCCCAACAAGTGCCTCCTCGACGCCCCTCCCCCATCTAGCCCATCCCCCACCGCCTCCCCTCCAGCAACCCTGTTTGCTTTCTGTATTTGAGAGTCTCTTGGTTTGTCCCCCTCCCTGCTTATATCTTATTTTTGCTTCCCTACCCTTATGTTCATGTTTCATAGCTCAGATTCCACATATGAGTGAAGTCATGTGATATTTGTCTTTCTCTTGACTGTCCTGCTTAGTGTAATACCTTCTAGTTCCGTCCACGTAGTTGCAAACGGCAAGATCTCATTCTTTTTGATCGCCGAGCAATACTCCATTGTATGGCTCCACCCCATCTTCACCCATTCATCTGCCGATACCATCCTCGCTTGTTACGGGCCCGCTTCGCCAGTGCTCCGTAGGTGCCCACTTGGGCGTTACGTGCTGCATCTCTAGCATTGCGCTGTTGTGAGAAAAGATCAAAGATCTCCAGAGCTTTTTCATCTCGCACAACACTGTCCCCCTTCCCCACCGCAGCCCCTGGGGACCAGCAGTGTCCTTTCTGTCTCCCTGAACGGGACTAATTTAGGTGCCTTCTAGAAGCGGAATAGCTACAGTATTTGTCTTTTTTGTGACGGCTTGCCTCTGTCATTTTGAAGAGTGGATTTAAGTTTAAATTTCTGCTGCTTGTTCCATCCACTCTGGATACTCTCTCCTGCCTTTCTTTGTTTTTTCCGCCTTCCATCCCTCCCCCTCCCTCCTTCCCCCTCTCTCTCCCTTCCTCTCTCTCTTTCTCCTCCTCTGCAATTTTAGACTCCTTAGGATGTAACGGCCAAAGGGAAACTGGGAAATCAGAGCGAGACACCTCTATAAAACCCTCATAAAGTGCCACTCGTCAACCTCACGTAGCAAGCGCCACCTCTCATGTCTAAATGGAAGATGAAAAAGGGGCCCAGGCCTGTGAGCAGGCGGAGCCTCGGGCGGGGAGCGGGAGGGGCGGCAGCTGCGGGCGGGCAGGGCTGCGTGGGTCACCGGCTGCCTCTGCCTTCGCAGGGAGCACCATCATGTATGGGGCCCTGCTGCTGTTCGAGTCCGAGTTCGTGCACATCGTGGCGATCTCCTTCACGTCGCTGATCCTCACGGAGCTGCTCATGGTGGCCCTGACCATCCAGACGTGGCACTGGCTCATGACCGTGGCCGAGCTGCTCAGCCTGGCCTGCTACATCGCCTCCCTGGTGTTCCTCCACGAGTTCATCGGTAAGACCCGGGCAGCTGCGGCCGGGGGCCCCTGCCTGGCACTTGTCCTGAGGTCTTCGTCCCGCTGGCCTTGGCACTCAGCTGCCCCCCCCCCCCCCCCCCCCCCCCCCCCCNCCTGGTGTCCCCTCGGGGCAAGTGGCACTTGTGAATCGGCTTCCCGGGACAGATGCCGGCGGGATTGATGTCAGGGGAGTGTTTCCTCTTATTTTATTTTATTATTATTTTTTTTAAAAGCTCTCATTTTGTTTTTTAATTTTTTTAATTTATTTCTAGGAGAGAGAGAGAGACAGCGTGAGCAGGGGAGGGTCAGAGAGAGAGGGTGTCACAGACTGAAACAGGCTCCAGGCTCCGAGCTGGCAGTCAGCACAGAGCCCGACGCGGGGCTCGAACCCACGAACCGCGAGATCATGACCTAAGCGAAAGTCGGACACTTAACCGACTAAGCCACCCAGGCGCCCCTGGAGCGTTTCCTTTTAAAAGCTCACTGCGCTGAGTGGCTTAGACGGGGATTCCGTTGAGTTCATTGAAGGGTTTCTCGGGGGAGCTGGGCTCCGGGCTCCGGGCTCCCGGGTGCGACGGCGGTGCTGGACATCTGGGTTTTGTTCGTGAATAAATGATCGTCCTGCAGGGTTGGTCCTTGTCAGTAGGTCAGGAAACTCCGCCTTACCCTGGAAGCGCCCCTCATCAGGTCTCATGTTCCTCAGCAAACGGTCCGTGAGGTGTTCGCCAAGGTGAAAGGAGCATCCAGTCAGTGGGGTCTTAGAACACATTCACACTTGTCCCCAGAGTCGCAGAATGCATTTTGTGAGCACCTACTGTGTGCTCCGTGGCTGGGGGGTCGTGAGCTCTGCCCTCAGGAAGCTGCCACGGGGGCCGGGTGGGCACACAGACACAGGTGGGCTCCACGGCCGCTTAGTGGGACCGTGGCCGGTGCCGGCACACACGCCCCAGCCCGTGCCCCACAAGTGGCGTCTGCTGCATGACTGAGGAAAGTGCGGGCTGTGCTCTGCTCCCGCAAAACCCTGCGGACCGCGGGCTCCCTGTCCCGCAGCGGGAGGGGGCGCCCGTCCGTTGGTGGCAGCTCCGCAGGCCACCCGGTTCCCACTTTGCACCGCCCTCGGGCCCGACCCAGCCCCGGCTTTGGTGGCCTTCCCGGAGGCGAGGGGAAAACGTTTCTGGCGTCGGGAGCGGCTGTCTGCGCTTGGGCGGCGGGGTTTGCGAAGAAAAACCCCAGCCGTCAGATTCCAGGTCAGAAACAGCCGTAAGAATTGTGTTTGCCTGTAGTTTCGTCTCCCTGGCGTTTCAGTGACGGTCAGTGAGGACGGGGCTCAGAGGGAGGAGGGCGTGGCGGGAACCAGGCCCTGGGAGACAGAGCCCAGGAAGGGGGCCGGCGCCGGAGGGCCACGTGTCGGGGACGAGAGACAGCCCCCCCCCCCCGCCGCTGTTCCTCCACCCAGTAGCTATGCTGGCCAGTCCTGAGCTGCACGGCCCTTCTGGAACATTCCGCCCGCTCACCGCCCTTTTGCTTGCATTGCAGATGTGTACTTCATCGCCACTTTGTCGTTCTTGTGGAAGGTGTCCGTCATCACTCTGGTCAGCTGCCTCCCCCTGTACGTTCTCAAGTACCTGCGAAGACGGTTCTCCCCGCCCAGCTACTCGAAGCTCACGTCATAGGTGTGCGCGGGCCGAGGGCGCCACGGCCTCCGCGCCCTCCCGGTGGACCGAGCTCAAGCTGCGTTTTTATTAACCGCCACCCGTGGACCTTGCAGTAATGGCTGACACGTGCCGTCGGGACGCGAAGCGGCTGAACGTGCAGAGCCCTGAGGCTGGACACGCGGGGGAGGCTCCCGGGACGCGCCGCCGGCTGCTCGAGCCCCTGGGGACTCCGCCTCGAGTGAATGTACATACGTGAAAGCCGGTGGCTCAGCTGACAGGTTTATACGTGGGTCACTGTGCGAGCCTCCGGCGGCTTGGATGTTGGTGTCGTGTGATAAAAGTTCCTCTCCGGTTGCAGATCGTAGGAGGGTTCGTTTGCGGTTTTGTTTCAAACAATCCTAATGTGTGTGCACCCCTCACGTCTTTCTCGCTCTTAAAAACTGGTTGCAGAGAAATGTAGAGCTCTTGGTGTATAGGTTTGCGGGGGGCAGCGACCGTGACTTTGGTAGAAAGTAATCCGGACCGTGATCGCACGGTGGGAAAGCCAGCCGTCCCGCCCGAGGCAGCTCTGCTCGCGGGTCCCGCTTCCACAGCGCTTGAGTTCGCGCCACCTGCCACCTCGTAAAAGCGTTTCAAAGGTGCGGTCCTGCTGCCTGGGACCTGGTAACAATTACCAGGCCTGTGGCTGGCTGAGGACGCCCCCGGACGTTTTCGGCAGTTGTTTCAGCAGGAAGCGTGCCGCCGGCCGCTCCTAAACGTGTCGGCAGAGTGATAAGGGACTTCGCTAATTCTTTCGACGACGTAGCATATGGGGCTCAGGCCTCCCGAGTCTGGAGTGCAAGGTCAGGGCTGGGGGCTCTCTGCTTCCACGGAAGTCTGGTTCCCATCGCGAGGATGGAAGGACTAGGGCAGAGGCATCTGAACCACGTGGCCCTTCGCCGGTGGCAGGAGGAGGCCCGGGCCGCCAGCTCTGGGGTCTGGGCTCCGTTCCGCTGCCTCCCGGTCTCCCCGGGGAGCTTTGCCGAAAGGCCGCCCGCGGCAGAGGTCCCCTCCCCCACCAGGATGGGGCACAGGCGCGTGTGTTTCCCATAAAGCTGTGGCTTCTCTTTTCGGAGGAGGAAGGGAGTTTTCAGGCACTGGGCGCGGCAGGGCAGGGCTTTCTTGGGTTTTCAAGTCACTTGGCACCGCGGCCGCGTCTGCGTGCGTCAGGGTTAAGTCGGTAGGTCTTCCAGAGCCGACCGTTGGCGATCTTGGACTCGTGGTTCATCCCTTCAGCACGACGCTTCCTGTGCGAGCTCCGGCCCGGCCGCTCCGCCCGCTGCCCGTGGGCAGCCTGCTCCGGGGCACTGGGGTGGAGGGGCGGCCGCTCCTGCTCTTGGGAGCACTCTCCAGATGCTCACGTGTGTATGTTGCCCTTTTAAAACCTTATAAAATGATGCTACATTTCGGGCACTGGTAACCTGGCTATGTCGGCATTGCTTCTGTGTTCAGACTCTGCATTTTTGCAGTTTATTTCTGCCTTTCCGTTCCAGCTGGTCTCTGCCACCCCAGAAAGATCTACGGGGAATATAGGTCACAGTGAATGCATGGTTATTTAGGAATAGGACCTTTCAATCCGAAAGACTGAACGGGTCTGACCTCTTCTTGAGGGATGTTAGGTAGTTTCAAGGGGAGGGGAGGGGGAGCGTCGGGCTCAGGGTTTCACACTTCGGTCTGTCTTCTTGGAAGTCCGGTTATAAATCTTAAGTCTCATTCTGACCTGAGTTTGCAAACCCTGAACCTGGCCTTGATCACAGAGAGAGAGTAGTGGCCATCCTGCAGGTGCGTCTTGGCTGACGCACTGTTAGGAAATTTTGGACGTTCCAGCAGATACAGGGAGATGGTCCCTTGGTTTCCTCCCCCCCTCAAGTCCCGAGTTCGATCCAGATGTGTGAGCTGAGTGCTGAGGTCAATGCCTGAGATACCAGCTGGCCTCTCACAGGGAAGAAAGCCGCTCAGAGAGGCTGAAGCCGCCACCCCTGGAAGTTGGGGGGTGCTTGTCTGTGCCATCGCAAACCTTGCTCCCTCATCCCGGCCTCACTCCGGTGCAGGCGGTCAAGGGCCAGGGGGACCGAAACCGCAGGCGGAGCCCACACCCCCCTCAGCGGAGCCGCACCGTCGCGGGCAGCCTGCTCGCACCACCTGCGGCGCCCTCGGTGCCCAGGAATGCACGTGCTTCTCAAACGCAGGAGCCCCAAAGGGCAGGAGCCGCAAGTGGGTCGAGGGTACAGGACCCTTACTTACCTGCCCATGTTGGACAGCCCCACCCGCGGACCGGTGTTCACGTGGGTTTTCTCCGTTGTGGGGAAGACAAAGAAACGGGGCCTCCTGCGCTCATAGACCTTGAGCATAAGGATCCCGTTGACCTTGTTCTTGGTTTACCAATCTGGAAAGAATTTAGGAAGCACCACTGACCCTTCCCCTCACCTTGGACCTCAGGGGGACCTAAGTCTCTCGCAGCCAATTTACTTTGAGGCTGGAGGCCCCATGGCACACAATCAGTGCTATTCAAACCTTTCTCCTTAAAGTAAAAATTACAACCCCCACCCCCCGCCCCCCGGCACCACTAGGTATTTCTGTCACGTAAGCACTTTTGTTATGTTATGATTATTTTTGCTCCATTTTTTGGTGACGGTTGTACGTGCATGAGCATCATGGGATCCATTCGGTTTCTCCCCTCCCCACTCCTTCCTTCCTCTAAGAAAATGACCAGACAAGCATCTCCCATTTCAGTAATTTCTGCAGCCTGACAGCTTGGATCCTAATTTGGAGGATGCGCATGCATGTTGCCTGGGGTGCTGGGGCGGGGGGCGGGGGTGTCCTGGCCGCACCGATTCTGGCTGGTGGGGGCCGTGGACTTGGCCACGGAGCACAGGAGGGGCATCCCCGGGAGCATCTTGACATTGGAGCAAACCACCTGTTCGCGGGCGGCTGCAGCCTCCCTGACTCGGTGGCGGTGAACCCCAGTACCCGCGTCTGCTCACCTTTCCTCGGTGTGTTCTCGGCCAAAAGCTTAGGACACACTGACAACTTTTGAATGTATTTTGAGTTCTGTGCTCTTTGGAAATCGACACAGTAATGCCTCTTCTCCTTTTCCAGATTTTTGCTTTTATACTTTGTTTTGTTTTTACTGGGGTGGGGATAGGAGGGCCCTCACGCCTTTATGGGGCAGCATTTTAAGCCTTTGCCAAAATCGCCAATGGGACCTATGCGTGCTTCCACTCCATCCTCTTGAAGGCAAACACCTCTCAGCTGTTTTTAATCTTTTTTGTGTGTTTAAGTGTGTGTGTGTGTGTGTGTGTGTGTGTGTGTGACCTCGAGTTTTTTTTATGAGATACTTGATTTGCAGCAAAATCCCGTTATTCCCGGCTTCGTTGTCGTTTAAAAAAACAAGGAGCTTTGTAAATATAACATTTTATTTCTCCTCCCTTCCTTTCATGTAAAGCCTTTTGCTCTGTATACTGATGGGGAAGTATTTCCATTAATGATGTTCATTTCATCCTGGGAAAATGCGTATTCCGGTGTCGAATGGAACTGGGAGGCACACCACCGCGCGAGCAGCGCCCCTGGGACGTCCCCTTCGCTCCGAGGCGTCTGCTCCGCCACAGCGCTGGACCTGCAGACCCCCTTCCCCGTCACCGCGTGCTGGGCGGCGCCGTCTGTCATCGTCACCGGCCAGCGTCCGTGAATACTGCGTTTGTGGGGAGGGGGGCGGGTGGGGTGGGGCCTTAGCAGATAAAAATCGTGGCTAATTTATTACTTTGTTGCAGGGGGGCTGCCTGTAGACTCATCTAGGAGGCAGTGGCCTCCTCATTAGCAGATCTCTACGCGTAACCCACGTTGCAGATACTCCCCAGGACAGCGTTTTCTCATTAGCGGGAAGCTCTGCGGCAGGATGCTTTAATTTAGCAGGAACTCCCAGATGATTTAAATTCTCAATCCTGTGATGGTGCACATGTGATCCTGCGTGTTTCTCGGCGGTTGTCCCTTCATTGTGTGCCAGCGTGGCCGTCGCTGTTGCCCAATAAAGCTTGTGTACTTTATGCCTTTGGGGATCATTTTAATTTGTGTGGAAACATGAATTCTGGTGTCAAAACGAAGGCTTTTTATGCTAATGCTCCTATTTTGTGTGTGTCTCGTGGCACAAAAAGTGAACAGCTTTTTCTCCAGTTAAAGTTATTTTGATTCTGGCCAAAAAAAAAAAAAAAATTCCATCCCAAACCCATGCATTTTATTATTCTGTACTGTTGTGTGTTCCAGACATGTCAGAATTTCAAAAGAGGACTGATATAAATAGGAAAAAGGAGAAGAGTATTTTATAAGATTCATATTTTGTTTATACACATGTAGTCCCTGATCTGTTTGTTTATTATTATACCTTTATTTATTTAAACAATTTTAATATTTACTTATATTTTGAGAGAGACAGAGACAGAGTGAAAGTTGGGGGAGGGGCAGAGAGAGAGAGAGACAGATTCTGAAGCAGGCTCCAGGCTCCGAGCTGTCAGCAGAGAGCCTGATGCGGGGCTCGAACTCGTGAGCTGTGAGAGCGTGACCTGAGCCCAGGTGGGACGCTTAACCGACTGAGCCGCCCGGGTGCCCCTGGATACCTTAAAAAAAAAAAATCAAGTAATAGAAGATTTAGGAATGCAGTCACTTAAGTTTAAGCTGTTGTATAGGAAGCAGAAGACATTAATTTCACTCAGTGATTCTCATCCTGGGAGCTTTTTTCCTCCACGGGACAGGGCAGTGTTGGGAGGCTTTTTTGGTTGTCACAATCGGGGTCAGGTGCTCTGGGGCTGAATGAGAGGCCAGCGGTGCTACAGGGCCGCCCCCACCACGTGGAGTTATTTGACCCCAAATGTTGAACGTATCGCAGTTGCGAACCCCCATATAACCTGCACGGGGCCGTCCACTTCATCGTCTGCAGGAGACCTCATTTCCAGGGGAGCGCAGTGCGGTGTGAGCACCCGTGTCTCGGGAAACCAGATACATACCAACGAGCCACATGGTTTAATTAGGAGCTGTTTGCGGTGTGGGCTGCTGGTGTCCACACACGGGCTCTCACTGAGAGAGAGCCATCCCCAGTGTATCGATTAGAAGGAGAATTGTAAATGCACTGTGTCTCCATCAGTTGTGGCTCCTCTGAGCAAGTTGGAGGTGCACGCTCTCGGGCTTCCTGGGCCCGAGAGGGGCAGACGAACAGTACTTTTCCTTCCCCGCATGCTCTCAAAGTAGTCCTCCTACCGCATTGACCTGCTGTGAAATTCCATCCGTGTGGGGAGCGCCTCCATTTCCGCCACTAGGGGGAACTTGAGATTGAAA